TATCATATTAATTAATATTTTTAAGATACTTACAAATTGGTCACCAAAGTTGATTTAAGAAGATTGGGTGAAACATAAATGAATGAACATAAACGAACATAACCGAACGTTCACGAACGTAAATAACAAACGAGACCTATGTTTATGTTCGTTCATTTAATTAAACGAACACAAAATCTTTTCACGTTCGTTCATTTAATAAATAAACACACATAAACAAACTTCCCACCGTACGAGTCATAAACAATTCACTGAGTTCATTTACATGCCTCTTAAAATCAAAAGTAAAATGAAGGTTGGTTATGCTTTTATTCCAAGATATAGGGCGAAAGACTTCATCCTTATCGTTTCATGAGTTTTAATGAAATGGACCCCATAGTTATCTCTTCACGCGGCACCCGCCGCCGATTAACCGTTACCTAAAGGAATCTCAGTATCAACGGCCCAGAAAATAACAGTTTAAAAATAAAAAAAGAACACGAGAAATTGATACGATAATTTGTTTCGGGTACCCAGAAGTCCACCTGTAGCCTGAGTCGGCCCGTAAAACCGGCTATATAATGAACTCATAATCTTTCAAGCAATTCTCGCTCAATCAGTCACTGCTAACGTTCTCCTTTGAATACAACATTATCAAAGCCCTTCTCCCTATTTTCTCGCTGATTTTCCCTTATTTTCTGGGAATTTTTGTTTCTCAGTTAGTTTCACCTTCCCTAATTTTCTTTCAATCAAAAACATTTTTTTGGTCTCTTTTTCGTGTTCCAAGATCTGCATGGTGAATTTCCTTTCCGCAGCATAAATTTTCTGCCTTCACATAAAAAAGGAAAAATTGAAACTTTAAATCTGTTAAAAATATTCTGCTGAAAGGGTCGGCGTGGGGATTTTGAAGTTTGGGGTAAAGAGAAAGTGTTGTTCCGGTTGTAATAGAGCAGTCTTCTGCTTCTTTTGAGGGAGTAGCCGGGGCCTCGGCCTCGGCGGGCTTTAAAGCTCCCACCTTTTGAAAGCTAATCACAAATCTCGTCATTTTTTTTGTTAACCATTAATTTTTCATTTCAAATATTTTTTTAGCTAGTTTTACAGATTCATTTTTAGGGATGCCGGCCCTGGCTTACTGCGTAGATGCTGCTGCCGTAGCGCCTCCTGGTTACGCGGCTTTCGTTGCCGGGGATTACTCCCTTCCGGCGGCGATCCCATTGGCTTCCTCCACTGCCGTCGCCGTTAATTCCAACTCTACCCATTGGTCCCCCGCGCACTCCTCCGCTCTCTACCGTATCGAAGGCTGGGGAGCTCCTTATTTTTCCGTCAACGACTCCGGCAATATCGTCGTCCGTCCGTACGGAACGGATACTATGGCGCACCAAGAGATCGATTTGTTGAAAATCGTGAAGAAAGTTTCGGATTCGAAATCGGAGGGCGGACTTGGTTTACAGTTTCCCCTCATTGTTCGCGTACCCGATGTGCTGAAAAACCGGCTTGAGTCTCTTCACTCGGCATTTGACTCAGCCATCCAAACTGAAGGCTACGAGTCTCATTACCAAGGCGTTTATCCCGTGAAATGTAACCAAGACAGGTTTGTGGTGGAAGACATAGTTAAATTCGGGTCGCCCTTCCGGTTTGGTCTCGAGGCCGGTTCGAAACCCGAACTCCTCCTTGCCATGAGCTGCCTTTGCAAGGGAAACCCAGAGGCCTTGTTGGTCTGCAATGGCTTCAAAGATACCGAATACATTTTCCTTGCCTTGCTAGCGAGGAAGCTTGCGTTGAACACTGTAATTGTTCTTGAAGAAGTAGACGAGGTGAATTTGGTTATTGAAATAAGCAAGAAACTTTCGGTTCGACCCGTGATCGGTGTCCGAGCCAAGCTGAGAACCAAACACTCTGGTCATTTCGGGTCGACTTCGGGTGAGAAAGGTAAGTTCGGGTTAACAACCGCCCAGATTTTAAGGGTTGTTAAAAAGCTTCAAGATTCAGGGATGCTTGATTGTCTGCAATTGTTACACTTTCATATTGGATCCCAAATCCCTTCAACAACTTTGCTTCAAGCTGGTGTAGGCGAAGCTGCACAAATCTATTCTGAATTAGTCCGTCTTGGCGCTGACATGAAGGTTATCGACATCGGAGGCGGCCTCGGAATCGATTACGACGGGTCAAAATCTGGTCATTCGGATCTATCTGTTTCTTATGGCCTTCAGGAATATGCTTCAGCTGTTGTTAATGCAATTCGGTTTGTTTGTGACCGTAAATCTATCAAGCATCCGATTATTTGTAGTGAAAGTGGGAGAGCTATTGTTTCCCATCATTCTATTTTGATATTTGAGGCTATTTCTGCTACTGCACCGACTGCAATGAACTCGGTTGATCTTCCATTTATATTGGAGGGTCTCTCGGAGGATGCTCGTTCCGATTGCTGGAACTTAATCCAGGCAGCAGTGAGACATGAGAACGAGACATGTTTGGTGTATGCTGATCAATTGAAGCAAAGATGTGTGGATCGATTTAAAGAAGGGACTTTGGGGATTGAACAGCTTGCTTCTGTTGATGGTTTATGTGACTTGGTTTTGAATATGGTCGATGCATCTGACTCTACTCAGACGTACCATGTGAATCTCTCTATCTTCACTTCGATCCCTGATTTTTGGAGCATTGGTCAGGTTTTTCCAATAGTGCCTATTCATCGATTAGACGAAAGGCCTGATGTGAGGGGGGTGTTGTCTGATCTTACTTGTGACAGTGATGGGAAGATCGATAAGTTCATCGGAGGCGAAACAAGCTTGCCTTTACATGAGTTAGAAGGTAATGGTGGTGGTAGCAGCGGTGGTGGTAATGGGAGCTATTATTTGGGTATGTTCTTAGGTGGGGCTTACCAGGAGTCTCTCGGTGGAGTCCACAACCTCTTTGGCGGCCCGAGTGTCGTTAGTGTGTCGCAGAGTGACGGTCCGCATAGCTTCGTGGTGACGCGGGCAGTTCCTGGTCGTCATGTGGGGATGTCCTCCGAGTGATGCAGCATGAGCCCGAGCTCATGTTCGAGACCCTAAAGCACCGTGCTGAAGAATTTTGTGGACAGGACCATGGTGATGATGGCACCTATGCTGCTGCATTTGTTAGCACCATTGCTCGTTCCTTCCACAACATGCCGTATCTCGTAGCGGCATCTCCTTGTTCGTTGACAGCAATGAATAACACAGGTTTTTACTATCCCAATGAGGAAGATTACAATGTTGCTGTAGAATCCGGGGCTAGCGAGGATGACGAGCACTGGTCCTATTGCTACGCCTGAAGCAGCGTTCTACTATTTGCCTTATTCCATGGTTTTATGAGTCCTTGAATGTCTTGTTTTTCCATTGCTTGTAAGCAGAAGTTGTTAGCATACATGCTTCTTTTTAGTTGATTTTTGAGGATTGATGGCTCTTCTTCTTTCATTTTATGATTTTACCATGAAAGTTTTTCCAACTTGCTCGTCCTTGTGATTCTTTGAAGGTTGCTTTCACTTTATTCAATTGTGATCTTGTGTAGGATCTTAATAGTGCTGGTGAGCTGGTTCTTTTAATGACTTTATGCAGAAAGAAAATGTCAAAATACTAATGGGGTCAGATTCATCAGCCCCAAGTGGAAATTGTTAGATGCCAAGGTCCTGTATTAAGTGGGGTCTGGTTCTTTGTCTTTGCTTTAGCTGCTAAGCCTCCTCCATTTCACACCAGCTTATTCCTTTGAAGCTCGTGTTTTTGTATTCGTCGACTGCAGCTGACACAGTTCAGTGCATGGAGCTCTGATTCTGAAGAAGAAAAAAGAAAGAAAGAAAAGTGAACAGCTACCACTGAAGCAGCTTCCTCCGGTACTGCTGTGTGGCAGTAGATGAAGCCACGGTGGTCACATTTCCCCATGATCCGATAATCCAAGACAGGGAACGACCATGGAGAAATGAGTGAAACAATGGAGTTCCTCCTCGTTATTGTTGGAAATTTCAAAATACAATTTATTAATATAAGAATAAAAAAATATTAGAATTCAGTTGTAATTGAAAATTTATTAACAGTATAATTTTTTTAGATTGGATAGAGTAATATTTTAGATTGAAATAAAAAAAATATTTTTCGTAATATTTTAAATTGCAATTGAAAATGTTATAAATTCGTATACTTTTTTTTTATTACAAGCTCTAAATTCTCTTAATATAACTTTTCCTTAGAATCTAAAATATTATAAATTTATATAATGTTTTAAATTAAATTGTTGAACAATAGAACTACTATGTGTTAATGGGCAAACATATGACAAATAGAGTGGCAAAACAACGGTCACTTATAATTTCTTATAATGTTGTTTTTTTCAATCTATTTTATATTTTACATAATTTAATTTTATATTTTTTATTCTAATAATTCATCTTTCCTAATAAAAATGGTGGATGTATTTTTATAATATATTTTTATTTAATTATTTTATTAATTTATTCATACTTTAGATTTTAAATTAATTCTTTTATATTAATAGGTGTTCATAATCACCAAAGATTGATCACAATTAAATTGTGATAAAATCAGATGCCATCATTATTATATATATATATATATTTGTGTGTTAGTATTGATGATATTTATCTTTCGCCAATAATATTTGTTTGTATCTATCATTTTTCTAGTTGTTTAATTAAATTTAACCATTTTATTGTATAATCGTATTTACATTTTAATGATTAGTTTGTAAAGTTTGATGGTTTTGGTAAGAAATTGGTTAGTTTATTATATTTTTATATAAATTATGTTTTATAATATTATTATATATCTTCTCTGTTTAATAAAACTAATTAAAAAAACATTTATAGCCGATACTAAATTCACACACAAAAGGTCAGGTTTCTAAATATATGTGAATGCATACTAATCATTCATTATCATCATGAACCATCTTGGGGGATATTTGAGAATTCTTTTAGAAAATCATTACTAAAAAGAAGTTTGGGCTGGAATGAATCATAATCTGGACATAAGTTTGGTTATAGCCCAAAGCTAATCAGATTAAAAGAAAAAGAAGACGAAGCCCAATTGACGATTTATTTCTAGGCTTTTTTTGGCAGCCTCCGACTTTGGTATGGTAGCGAGAGATTGTGGGCAGAGGAAATGGCGATGATGCAGTGGTGCTGTTCGGTAGCTAGGAGAGTGACGGTGAAGCAGTGGCCGCCTCTAACACAGGCTTCTCCGACTGGAGTAATGGAGGCGGCAGCTCCGATCCTTTGCGGAAGGGGTGACAAAAAAACGAAGAGAGGGAAGAGATTCAAAGGATCGTACGGGAACGCCAGACCCAAGAAGGAGAAGATGATCGAACGCATCAAAGACAAGGTCGAAGTTCCCAGGTCCACCCCTTGGCCTCTCCCCTTCAAGCTCATCTAAAACAAATTAATTATCTTTTCTCTCTTTCGTATTAGCTGTAGTAATAAATCTAAATTTTGCACAATTTTTTCTGGATTTTTTGTTTGTTACTTTACTTCATATTTGTGGGGTTTGAGTTTTAGGCATGTTCTCTTTTTTCTCTGGAAACTGTTGCTACGTAATTAGTATTTCGACAGCTTGTTAAAGTGGTGTCAATGGTTGCCGATTAGCACATGCCTGGAAATTTGTGCACATGAACAGGGAAACCCTAACTGTTATGCAACAATTATTACTTGGCACCATAGCTTGTAACACTGAATAAGTAGGACATTGGGACATATTTTCAGTTAATGCTTTTGAATTCCAGCACACCTGCTGCTCATGGTTCATTAGTTAAAAGAAGTGGGATTTATGAGTGGGATGGTGGTTTTCATGGTTTGGTTAAATCCTTTGAATAGTACATGATTTATGGTTTTAGGAGGAACAAGATTGTATATGAACATGAAAGATATGAACTCGAATGTTGAATGCATATCCCTGGTATAATTGAAGGGCCTTAGTCTTCTAGTGTTAACATAAAGTATGTCATATCTGAATAGTGTTCACATAAAGGGTGTCAAAATGAGCTAGAGCCTGAAATGACTTGACCCGGGTCTTCCCGAATCCGACAATTGCCCCCTCTACTTACAGTTACAAGGGCCTTGCTTATATTAGCTATGGAGCTTGACCTGCACTGTTTCATTGGAGAGACAGACAAGGGTAAGTAGGCAATTAAGCAATTCCTATAGTATAGTGTTGCTTAGGAGCTTAGTTTTTGAGGAAAAATGTAATTAGAAATCAAGTTCTCGAATTCGGAAGTTAGTCGAGTTAGCATCTTACAAGTTTGAAGTTCAAATCTCAACATCTGAAACACCTTCTCTGTTTATATTTTACGACGTCTTTCTAGATAGATAAAAGAGTGTCATCTTCCTTGGTTAACTACCATAAACAGATTCCCCCCCTGAAGACCGTGATCATGGAATACCTTGTAGAATTCAGGTGTACGTTTCATCTTACCTTCCTAAATTACTCGTCCTTCGTTGTTGTCTGACCCTTCCAGTGTATGTTTGAATCAGGTCGATTTTGATCGATATTTTATTGGTTAATGCATAGAGATGAAGTTTCCATGGTGATCAAACGACTTTTAAAGTTGTGAATTGGGATGCGAAGTTTTATTGTGATTGTTTTGCACCATTGTATTCACCACTTGCGCCTGAGGCAATATAAGTGTGTAAGTGCGTAATAACCCAAAATCTACAGCACGAATTAAATAAAAAAAACACGATAAGTGGCAACCCCTTAATAAATTTGTATCCCCCCCCTTTAAAAATTGATATCATCAATCCATGAAAGGTCATCAGAAGATGAACCTAGGGGAACAAGTGGAGACAATTGTCCCTAAAATTTAAAATTCTTATATATATATATATATATATATATTTTTATATTTTCATTTTATTATCGATTGAAAATATGTTTTTGATCCTCTTAAAATTTTATATATTCTCATTCTCTTAAAATTTTATAATTTTATCCCTCAATTCTATATTTTGCGTGAGGCCTAATTTTTAGTCTCGTATCTAGGGGTGAGCATTTGATTGAACAAAAAAAGTTTTAGTTATTCTAGTTAACAATTGTGATTTCATAAATTATATTTAATTTGAATTTTTTTGAGTTGAATATATAAAACTAGAGTCGAGTTTTTTAGTTCCTATTTAAATTTATTTATAAATATTTATAATATTATGATATTGTTTGATTTTAATTTAAATGATTTTTTAAATGAGTTTTTAAGTTTCTATTTTTATAATACATATTATGAGTCGAGAAATTCTATTTAAACTTAAAAAATCAATCCATTAATTGTTAAAAAATTTGAATTATTTGAGTTATATTTTATAAATTTGAACTTGAAATTTTTTCGTGTCGAACTTATGAAATTACAATACAAAGTCAATTCAAATCGAGTAAAAAAAATTGATTTTTCGAGTTGAATCGAGGTTTGCTCACCCTTACTCTAATCCACCCCGGTTAAGATTTTACATAATTTTACACCTCTATATGAAAATTCATCTTAAATTCACGATCCGTTTAACAGAAGGGGAAAAATCAATCACAAAGTCAATGCTATTGCCTATGATTTTCAAGAAATTACCTCTCTACACCTGTGCTATAATATGCATATATGCATGAACAAGAGCTTCACAAAAGGGATGCCATGCTGTTTTTCCAGCCATATGTTCTTCGCCTTGGGCGCAGAGGAGTAAAACTAAGCCCGAACATTTCCTTCAAGGCCTTTCCTTGCTCCACGAACCTAATCATCTTCGCAACAATGGCGGCACTGTCCTTTACATGGCTCATATCCTTGTTTTTGCTCCACAACTGATTCACAAGCTGGAGCCTTCTCTGCTTCGAGTTCAACTCAATGCCCCATTTCTGATACAGTTTCTCTCTTTCTTCTTCCGTAAATCTTTTACGCAACAGCTTGCTCAGGGTTTGTCGCTCACGGTGAAGACTTCTCACACTGCATCAACATATGAACAGATTAAAAAATCTATTTAAGTAGATGATGGAAGGGATCACATATCAGGAAAGTAACTCGAAACAAACTTTTCTTTTCTAGATTTCCATTAACGGTTGGTTGTCCTCCAAATTACCATCTTTCCAAGTATAATAAGACAAAATATCCAACATGAGATATTGAAAACAAAGAGAGGGAGAGAAAACCTCGAAGCCAGTGTGAGGGTGTGACCATCTTCAATGGTTTGATTTCCTCCAGAAAATGTTTCCTTGAGGAAGGCAAGTCTCCTAAGCTCTACCTCCATGTAAATGGAATCAGATGGATCACCTTTAAAGAGCAGGAAGAAGTATGTTCTGTAAACCAAAGAAACATTGCAAGCTTGCCAAAGCTCAAGTATTGCTCTCCGCAACCTATCAAATTCCAGAGGCCAATGCAGAGGGGTACTTGATGCTGAATGCATTGGGTCCAATCCTACATCTTTCATACTTCTTCTAGACTCACCTGCTTCCAGTCCCGTGCTCTGAACCTAAGACGAATTTATGAAACATTTTCAAAGAAATCAAATGACACATTGCTCAAGTGCAAATTTTAATGTTTTTGCAGACATGGGAGGGAAAATGGTAGGCAACTCTCAGTCTCTAACCTGACCATTAGCAAGTTGCTTCTTCAATCCTGCAACAAAAGTATGAATGCTAGTAATATCTTCATCCGCAGAAGTCTTGATAGAAGCACTCCCAAGTGAAGATTGAGAATTATTCCTGGAGAGCACGCCATTATTGGCATCAAAATTTAATAAAGGGAACTTCTTTCGGTAACTTTGTGGTCTTCCAGGGAAGTTTTTCTCCAACCCATTTAGCGGGGTGCTTTCGAGACATTCACTGTCAGCATAAGGAGAAGATGTACCGCCCATGACATATGCTTTACAACTCCAGCTCCTACTAAATTCCAGGCTTCTAGAACTCGACAAATCTGCTAGCCGAGCATCCGAGGATGATTTACCAGGGCTGACAAGAGAATCAACCGGCTTATGTACATGATGGAGTCTCTGCTCCAATGAATCAAACGCTAAACCATTTTGGTTCTGATTTGCTACTCTATCTCCATTCATTGGAGTAGACATTGTTTCCTGGTTGGTCTCATCTTCATCTCCATCTCCATAAAGTGTCAATGCCAATCTCCCTTCACTTTCACCATTTGGAAAGGCTTGAGATTGAGAATTATAATCCCTCCCTGATTCTTCTGGCTCAATACATTGAACTTCTTTGCAGTATTCATCAGGGTCATCAGCAGGTTCACCTGGAGTCTCATCAAGACTCAGTCCAGAATCAGAGATGGAATGGTCTTCATGATTGTTCAGAGGCTGATGATAGGGCTCCTGAATATTACTCCCACTCTCTGTGTCATAACAATGGATTGGATTAAATTTTTGAACATGTATATCAAACCGATTAGAATCAGCCAAACATGATGACTCCGATGCTGAATAGTCATCTTCCCATGCATCACCTGCTGGTTGATTGGGATGGTAATCGATCCTCGCCTGATCAGAGAAATGAGAGAAGGGTTAGAGGCCAAAGATGGAACTATAAACAAGAGATTAAGCTAGCAGTTAGGACTATAATGAGTGAATATCATAAAATGCAAAGAATGAAGATACAGAATAAAAGCAATAATACATACCGATTGTCCTGAACTTTGATCATTTCTAATCACCCTAAGCAAATCCTCGACACGAGATTGAGCAATATCACGTTGCTTAGTCAATTCTCTAATATCCTTCTCCATCTGCATAGTGCGAAGTCGTGCAACCAATGTTAGGCAACATGTAGATGTAGATGCCTAATCTTTTTTTATTATATCTACATGCCAGCCACCCCAGATGTGATATTGAACAGAATTAGGTTTTTCATTCACAAGACAGAACGGTTTGCTACTTTGCTTGCAGCCTAATTTTTCACTTGCAAAAGATTCTATTGATTGCAATGCATAGGATTCTAGAGTAATGGAACTTTAAGTAAGGATAACACTGCAGGAAGCGCTTCATCAATAAATATGTGATATGTAACAGTTACTCATTTTCATTCAGGTACACATGGTAGCAAGTCCAAGTATATCTGGCAAATGAGTTTCAAAAGCAATGCATAACCTTTTGAATCTGAAGGTCTTTCTTTCTAAGTAAAGCTGCATAGTCACTGTTTGATGGAGGAGGAGCAGGACACTTGAGTTCACTTTCTAACCTGGCCAACTCTTTTTGCAAATGCTTAACTAAGGCCTTATCAGACATGACCACATTGACCTGCGCTTTTGTAGTAACTTCTTTTGCACAACAAGCAAACAGAAGAGTGTTTCTGGTTTGTTCAACATGGCTTCGTGCGGGACTCAAGGTACATATGATGGCAGTCCTGGCATTACCACCCAAACAAGGCTGCAGTATGCGTGTCAGCTTAGAATCTCTGTAATTGATATGTCCTTGCCTGCCTTTACTGCATCCACCATACAACCACAATCATTTAGGTGAGAAAATTTTAACAAGAAATTGCCTTTTGCAAAAATCATCAACATTCTGTATTTTAAAACAATTTTGTGGTAATTATTACAGAAATCAAAATGGGGTACCGAACTGGATTGAAAGAACTAACACTAAAAAAATAGTAATATAGTAAAAAGTGAGCTAATATTAGTGCCATTGAGAAAGATTCAACTCTGAGCCTAAATAAACTATCATAAAACTATGCCCAAAATTATCTGTTTCAATTTAAATTGAAAAACTAACAACCAAAAGGAAAAAGGAATTCAATCAAGGTCAAAGTAATAAAATAACTACTTCAACAATAACCAACTACGCCCAACAACGAATTTAGATATATGAAGTAGTCACTTGTAGATGGTTGAATTTAAGCAACTAAGAGCACTCAAATTTAAATATGATCCAAGCCAACCTTAGCTTGCGAACAACAGTTGACAGGGTGAGTAAACTACGATTTATATGGCAACCTTCTTTCAGTCTTGCCCCAGTGGATAATGCCTGAGATGCTCGCTCACTTCCAGCCAGATCAACAAAATTCTGCACTCAAATACCACCATCTTTTAATGACTTAAACCATTTCAGGAGAGCTACTTATTCAGTGAATTGCAAATGTGAAAGTAAATTCCATGAGCCATACCACAGTAGCTGCAAGGGTTGTTGAATTTTCTTTTCCTAGGAACTCACGAGCAGAGCTTTCAATTGTCTACAAAAGTTAGAACTCTCGTTACAGTACGCTAAAAAGGAAAGGGAAAAACTCAACATCATTACACATAAGATTTTTTCAATTAATGATATGTTGGGACATTCAAACAAGCCAAATTTGACAGGTAACACAAGAGAGAAAGTTTGGTTGAAGTGAATGGCTATTACAGGCTTATGAAATTCAGGGCAAATTACGGGAGGCGCCTTAAGCATACCATAAATGTTCAAGCGAAAGAAAGAAAGCATACCAATCTTATAATTTGATGAGATCTTGAGCTTCTCTCATTCAATGAGGTTTCTCCTAACTTTCTTTGAGCTGAAGCAATGCAATACTTTAAAAGGTTAATGATAATACATAAAGGTGCAAGTGTGCAACATCACCCAGTAAACATAGGACTCTTTAAAATGCCTTACCTACACAAATGGCTAGGAGTTCTTTCAAATGGTTCCAGTCCCTCAGCACTTCCTCTGTGACTTTCTCCACGGTGGTTCCTCTCTAATGAAAGGAACTCATTAGATCAAACATAACTCGATAAACTGAAAGTAACATAGATGTTGGTATTCACCTCAGGATCATCACGCAACCTAAGTTGGGTGTTCTCTGAATTTAGTAGGTCTCTAATTGCTTCATTGTATATCTCAATTGCTGAGAACTTCAAAACAAATGCTCTCTCCTCGTGCTGCAACGATGTTATCCGTATTATGTAAATAAAAGATTTTTAATAAAGATATGGGAAAATGCAATAAACATGGTGGAACTCAGATGAGTTAAAATTTTCATTACTCTGTTTATGTAGTCAAATATGTCTGCAACAGTATACTCAGTTATTCCAGTCATGGTGTATGTCTTCCCACTGCTAGTTTGCCCATATGCAAATATAGTAGCTGTGGAACAGGAGGAAGAAAATGTGTTAGAAAAAACCCTTTTCCCACCTCACCAAGTAGTTTATCAAAGATAGAAACACCAAGATGCCAAATTGCCAATACCCTTACTTACAATTAATACCACTAACAACTGAAAGAGCAACCTCTTTGGCTCCTTCCTCATATACTTGCTTTGTCAAGGCATCACCCCGAAATACTCTATCTGTCCGCAACATAAGAAGGAAGAAAAAAGTGACAGTAACATAAGTCTCATGTCTGGAACTTTATTGACCAAAACTGCTTCCAAATCTCAATCACATAACAGAAACAAATATTTTCAAGTTTGATGCTTTTAAAATTGATATTAAAACTTAGGCCAAGAATGTATGTAATACAAAAAGAAATCAAGATCTCGATCATTAAGATGGCCTAATCAATTAGTGAGTTAGAAACTGGGAGTTGGTTATAGTTTAAAGAAACCGAAGATGGTTCGATCAGAACCAACATGAAAAACAGCAAGAATTTGCTTACCAAATGTATAGGCAGACGGAAATGTGGACCCTTCGCGGAGGGTGTTCCGATATAGGATAGTACTGTCATTGATGCACTCCCAATCAGCAACTTCATTTGCTATAATTTCCTTGTCACTCAAAGGCCTCAGCCTCACCACAACTAGGATCCTCTCCTCGCGCTCACCTGCCATTTGTGCCTTCTGCTCTTTCTCCAACTTCTTTAACTCTTCCCCACCAATCGCCCCCATTTTTTTCACTCCACACTTCTAGTTACTCATCGTACTAAACGTTAAATCAAAAAAAAAGATCCATGAATTTGCAGATTCTCAGAAAGAGGAAAAAAATCAAACTCAAGAGATCAAATACACATCTCACTCTTGCTTTCCAAGTTAACAGCCAGTTGTTGGGATTGCCAAATATATTAAGCTCAGGCCCACGCGTTCACAACCATAGTCTATCAGCTAAAAGAAGCTAAACGTGATTGTAAACCCGACTAACCATAGAAAACGATCAATGAGTATAAAGGCTAATTACTGATTATATCAGCAACGACGAGCTAATTATAAGGTTTATCCAACCAACATGAAAATGATTTGATTTTATATCTGATATTTTATTTTTAGGGTTAAACATAAATTATATTAAACATTGTTTAAAAAATGATCACAAAAACAAATGCCAATGAAGCTGGTGGTTAAGATGACGAATTCCATTCCTAACACTAATCTGTCAACCTCCCAATTTTTTTCTACAAAAAAAAAAAAGAAAACTATTTATTTTTAATTCTTGACAGAGCAGAAACCTTTACCTGGTGTCACCAACTATGCTTAAATGCCAAGCAAAGAAAATTTCAACTTTATACTCATAAACAAATAAAAAAAATCTTTTCGTTCATTTTCTCATTTCTACTTCCCTTTTTCTTTTTTACCTCAAAATGAAAAATGGCGGTTCAGTTAAAAGAACTAATGAGAGTACCAACTTCAGTACCAAAACAGCGTCGTTTTCCCTCCATTATGCTGCTGATCTGAAATTCTGAATTCTTAATCGTACTTCCACCTCCAAACTCGATTTCTGCAAAATCCAAACCGAATAAAATCTAAAAATCGTTTTAAAACAAACGGAGTTTAATTCGGTAAAAATATGCGCATTTTAGCGTAAGATTCCAGGAATTTATGGATTGTTAAACGTTAGCTGTAGCAAAATTTTCAACGGTCAATTTCTGAATCAAAATGACAAAAATCTCACGCACATACACAAAATCCACTAAATTAAGTTATTCTTTGAACTTAAATTTAAATTTAAACAAAGAAGATTCTAAGAAATAAGAATTTCATGGAAGAGGAAGGGCACCGACGTGACTTGGAAGAGCAAACAGCTGAAGCGAAATCGATGGTGCTACGACTTTACGCGTCGAATAAAGTTGACAACGAAGGACAAAAGGGAGAATGTGAAATTAATTCAAGGATAAAAATGGAGGTAAAAAAAGGACCGAACCGGAGACTTACGCTACTTGTTGGAACAGTTAAAACCTGAGATTCTACGTGAAGAAACACCGGGACAGCCGGACCGGGGAAGGGAACGTCTTTGAAGTTTTCTCACTTCGTTGCGCGCGGTCCAAATTTTCAATTACGGTTTTGCCCTTGCTTTTTTTTAATAGGTTTTGTCTCGCGCCCCTATGATCTTTTTTGGATAAATAAGTTATATTCCATTTAAAAGAAACCGCTGAGGCTGCTACAAAACGTCACAAACAAACATGGACAAGTAACTAATTACAACCTCAAATCTATATAACCATACTTATACAGCTTGATTTTAACCATCTCCATAAGCCTATTTACAATTACATCAATCGAATGAATCAAATTCCTATAGTATCTATGGTTGCATTCCTCCCAAATAAGATAGAGAAAGCCAGTCCACAAAAGCTTAAGGACACGAACTCGAAGGGTTTCCCCCCTGAGGTTAGACAGTAATCAGTGAAGTTGCTCGTCCCAGGTGCGTGCCACAAATGAAAGACTATAAGCGTTCAACATAGCTCCCCAAACACCCATAGCAAAAGAACAATCAGTAAAAAGGTGGTCACGGGATTCCACCCCAGCTCCACACAAGCCACAAGCATTGTCAACAACCAAGCCAAACCGAGCAAGCCTATCCTTTGTAGGCAACCTATCAAGGATGACCATCCAAGAGATTAAAGAGAATTTGGGAATATGACCAGGGAACCAGATTAACCTATATCAGCTAACTTTCTCTTTACTGTCACGAATGTTGTCCCAAATCCACTTCCCGTTAATTAAATTCCAGTTAGCATAGGGGTAGAACAGTCCCCTAGCCTCTTCCCTCAACTTCAGCAGTTTGGTTAAAATCCAGCTAAAGTGGGATTTGCACTCAATCCATGCAATCCAGAGGGAGCCCTCAACTGCTAGAATGTTTCTGACTAGCAGCATACAACATGCACTACTCCAAACCACAAGGTTTCTAAGACCCAGACCACCCTCCGATTTTAAGGTACAGACTTGGTACCGGCCAAATCTTGTTACCCTAGCTGGAGTGTCACTGCCCTTCCAAAAGAAGCGCATACAAAGCCTTTCAACGTCCCTAATAATCCCTTTTGGAAGAATGAGTTGTCTGCTCCAGTAATTAAAGATATCGAACAAGACAGTTTTGATTAACTACAGTCTGCCCCCAAAGCTAAGGTTTTTATTGGACCATTGGTTGAGCTTGTTCTTAATTCTGGCTAACAGAGCTGCACATTCCTTACCTGTGAGCTTCCTAGTCACAAGAGGTACACCAAGGTACCTAACAGGAAGATACCCCGGTCTAAAACCAGTAACAGTACAAATCTGATCAAGAACATAGGAACTCAAACCCCAAGCAAAGAATTCGATTTTTTGAGCATTCAATTTGAGGCCAGATAACTCATAAAACTTCTCCAAGGTGCACAACACTCCCAAAACAAAATCAAGGGATCCATGGCAAAAGACAATCAAATTATCCGCAAAGCAAAGATTAGTGAGAGCAACTCTTTTACATTTGGGGTGGAACTTAAAGATTCTCTGTTTAGCAGCAACATCCAATATGGAAGACAACACATTCATAGCAATGACAAAGAGGTAAGGAGATAAGGGGTCTCCTTGCCTAATTCCCCTATCACCCTTAAAAATCCCAATAGGCTCCCATTTAGAGAGACAGAGAACATAGGAGTAGTAATACATGCTTTGACTAAATTACAAAATATAGGAGTGAGCCCCAAAGCCTCAAGAACATATAGTAAAAAACCCCAGCTAACAGAGTCAAAAGCTTTTTGTAAGTCTATTTTTATGGCACACTTAGGGGAAAGACTTTTCCTTGAATAACCCTTAACAATTTCCTGAGCTAACAAGGTGTTATCAACTATGTTCCTATCCCTTACAAAGGAAGACTGACTTTTAGAAATCATGGCAGGGAAGAAATACATTAATTTATCCACAAGAATTCTAGTAATAATCTTGTACACCACTGAACAACAAGAAATTGTCCTAAAATCTCTAGCCAAGTAAGCATTAGGGGATTTAGGGACTAAGACTAAGGAAGTAGAATTGAAAGCTGGCAACATAACAAAAGATTGAAAGAAGTACCTCACAACAGAAATAAAGTATGCCCCAACAATGTCCCAGGCAGCTTTGAAAAAACCAAAAGTGTATCCATCTGGGCCTGGACTTTTGTCCTTACCTTGCTTGAACAAGGCCTTTTTAATCTCCAGATCATCCACCTCCTTAGTGAGAGAGTCAGCAGCATCATTAGGCAAAGTGTAAGTCAACATGTCTTTAAGGATCTCAATGGAACAACCACTAACCATAGGATCAGCAGATCCAATAAGATCAGTGAAAAAACTAACTAACTCTACAGCCATCTCATCAAAAGACTCAAAATATTGACCCTCTTCACTCATTATAACTCTGATTGTATTATCCTTTTTATTAGACTCAACCATCTGATGAAAAAACCTGGTGTTTAAATCACCCTCCTTTAACCAATGCATTTTAGCTCTCTGCCTGTAGAATTCTGACTCAACAATTTCCAGGTCTACCAACTCAGCTTGAATAATTCTTTCATCATCCATCCTCCTCTGGCCAACATGGGACAAATTAAAAAGTTGAATATGCTCTAGATCAGATTTCTTGGACTTAACTCTGCCAGAAATATCAGAGAAGAATTCCTTATTAAAATCCTTAAGACAAGACTTAAGTCTTTTCAATTTTTGGAACAAACATTGCATGGGGTTCCCTTCACAATGGCCCAGCTAGGAATTCACAACAGTACTCAGAAACTGTTCATGGCCAGTCCAGTAGTTAAAAAACTTGAAAGGCTTTGGTTTCTTAATCATAGCCCCTTTTTGTGACCATAGTAGACCCAGTCAGTGATCAGACACTCCTTGAGCCTTAAAATCAGCAAAGGAATCAGGGAAATCCAACATCCATTAAGGGTTGACCAGTAGCCTGGCCAAAAAAGAATCCTCTTGTCTGTTTAACCAAGTAAACAGAGGACCTAGAAAAGGATGATCCATCAACTCAAGGTCATCCAGGCATTCCTGAAATTCCCTCATATCAGGAGTATAGTGCACTCCTATAACTTCAAAGTCAGAACTTTCCTCTGGGCTAGCAGTGATGTTGAAGTCACCCTCAATCACCCAAGAGGAAGAACCCAAATCATTCTCAACAGTCTTCAAATGGTCCCATAGACCTCTCCTAACAACCCATTATTGCTACCATAGATGGCAGTAATACCAGTCCTATGCCCATCAACAGTGCCAAAAATAATGATGGCCTGGTCACATTTCCTCTGCGCCACGTGGTCTTTCTGTGTTATTTAAGGGTTAATGTTAACTTCCCATCCCATCGCATTCCATCCGTATTTCACTACCGTTGTATTGTTGAATATGGTTTATTTAGGGTTTCAGTCCCTCGATCATGTTCAAATTTATAATTCAACTCTTTCTTTTAGTTTAGTATAATTTGATCTCTTATTTTATGACGTTAATTACTGAAACTTTTTAATTTTTTATTATTGACATACAAATTAAGCTGCCATATAACTGTCATCTAACTTCAAACATTAAGCTTATATATAAATTACTTGAATATGATTTATTTAATTTTTATATGATTCTGATCATGTGATTTAATAATTATAAATAAGTTTTACGAATATATAATTTAGAATATTTAATTTTAGCGTATATGCGTGGGAGGCAGGGGCTATTGGGCTAAGATTCAGGAACAACAAATTATTTATGAAACCCTAAAAATGCAAAGACAAACCATGCTTCAATCAAAGTAATATGGTCCGCAGACTATGTTACGTTAAAGTTAATGCAAAAGTATTGAAATTCATATAATTAGATTTTCCATTTTAATTACAAACAAAGAAAAAATGACCGAAATGATTTATTAGATCTTAACTAATATGATCAATTATTAAAGAGTATAATTGGGGATTAAGTTTTGTAAAACAAATGATTAATATAGAATTATTTAGTTCCTTAACTTTCAAAAATAATAATGAGAATAAAAGGTTGAAAGTTTATTATTTTTATTTAAAATTATTATATTTTGGAGGAGTATTTCTAAAATCGTACACCCATTTATTATTCATCTAGAGTTTCGTATTTTTAAGGTGATGAAAATTTAGTGATTGGATTTCTGATAATCTCACATAATTCGTCGGAGATAAATTTGACAGTTGTTATCATTATATGTATGACATCAATCGTCTCGTAATCAATGTATTTATACCCAAATAAAGATGGAATATGACCTCTCTCGTATTTTAAACTTCATCTATCTCATATTTTTCTCTTTTACGATTTTCCTCTCCTCTACAAACATATGTCAATGATCGTTTTTTATTGGTTGTTTTTCTTCACTCAAATAATTTGAGATTAACTTTTGTAAAACAAGCGATTGAAATAGAATTGTTCAGTTCTTTAACTTTCAAAAATAATAATGAGAATAAAAGGTTGAAAGTTTATTATTTTAATTTTAATTTTAATTTAAAATTATTATCTTTTAAAATATTTTTTAAATCGTACATCCATTTATTAATTTATCTAGAGTTTCATATTTTTTTAGTGGTGAAAATCTCATGATTAGACCCTTGATAACTTCACACAATTCGTCGGAAATAACTTTGACAATTATTATCATCATATGTTCGACATAAATCGTCTTATAAGCAATGTATTTATACCCAAAGAAAGATGGAAGACAGGCTCTCTTGTACTCAAACTTCATCCATCACATATGTCTTTTCTTTTACAAATTTTCTCTCTTCTGCACATGAAAATATTCGTCAATAATTGATTTTTATTGATTGTGATTATTCACTTAAATTAAAAAAGATGAAATGTCAACGATGGACAAATCAGATTTATTCTTATTAACAAAAATTAATACTAATTTAAATAATTTGATTTTAAAATAATTGAATCAATTTAATTCATTTTAATAGAAATTAGTCCAAACAACCTATAATGGATAAAAGGCTGCAACGTGAAATGCATAAATAACTAATGGGTGGAGGGAACTGTAAAGATGCCTCAATTTCGATAGCGTAGATCACGGATCATCACCTTTTTTTTATCTTTTCCTTTTTACTTTCTGGCAGTGAATATAGGAGAAGAGGGTGGATCTAGGTTTAGTTATTAACGATTATAAAAGTGAAACAACTCAGCCCAGCTCAGCCCAGCTCAGCCGCGCTCAGCCGCACCTGCTTCCTCCGTTAGTTACGCTGCCAACAATGATACAAGGTCAAGCTGATCCGCAAATTTCCAGATTTCGAGCATCAGAAAATGTGATTAATACATGATTTATATTATATAATATAGCCTAGTTAAATTTTATTACTGTCTTAATCATCATATAAGAAAAATAGTAAACTATCTTCTTATTTATCCAACTTTCAGCGAATTTTAATTTTAATTTCAAATCATAAAAATAATAAAATGACCATTCGATTATTTATATATTCTAAATATATTTTTTTCATTGAGAAAATGACGACCGTCTGAACTAGACTTTAACATGTTGATTGAGATATAATAAAATCATATTTTTAATGATGTTTATGGTATTGCCGTTGCTTTCATGTACTTATTTGATGGCATAATGTTTCAAACACTAGTTCGATGACAAAATATAAACAAAGACTAGATCCATAAAATACAACTCAAACAATTTAAAAATCAGATTTTATTATATCACAATAAGCAGATTAACTTCTAACTTAGACAATCGTCAATTTTTTTAAAAAAAATATGTATTTAAAAATATAAATAACTGACTTATTATATTATAACTTTTAATGATTATAGGACTCAACAAATCAGTGTCTTATAATTAAAAGAATTAATAAAATAACATCATAAAATCAGAAGGCTATTTATGTATTTTACCTTAAAAATATTAAATGTTTAAATATATTTTATAAAATTTATATATTTTTATCTTATATATATTAACAAAGAAGTTAATTAAATTAATGAATAGAAAACAAATTTTAATAAATAAAAATATTACAATAAAAAATGAATAATAAAGTCAAAAGAGTACTTTGTCAATTATAAGGTTGCACGCGTACCAATTACTTAGTGGGCCCGTCTTGCTGGAGGGTCCATTTGTACATTAGTCAACTAAGTCAAGTGCTTATTTATAGCTAACAAACTTTATTTTTTTTTTTGTTAAAAAGTTTAGAAACTTTGTTTTATAATTTTTATTCATCAAATATTACATAAGAAATTAAAAATATAATTATATTGTACTTTTCAAACAAGTAGAAATAATTATAATTTATAATTTATAATTATTTTATTTTTATATAATTATATTATGGTGTCGAAACATATTGAAGAAAAACTTTTATATTAATTATTCAAAAAAATTTAAAAATTATATTAGTTTACTTAATGAATTAAGCATAAGTTTCTATACACTTAAATAGTAATTGTCTTTTTAAAAGAGACGATATTAGAGAAATCTTTTTCACTTTTATCATATGAAGCAATAAACACATTGTTTGAACCCTAAGGCAGCGCATGGATTTTGTCATATCTATCAGCTTTGAAGCCATTGATATGTCGTATTCAAGTTTCCCTGATCTTTCGGATCGAATTAAATCAATTTAAATTTATAATTTTTATTATATGTTTTTTACACATTAATGAATGAGTTAGATCCACTTACACTTAGTGTATAACATTTAGTTTTACACTCTTCTAGGATTGGATGAAGGAAAATCAAAAGCCAAAATTAACTCATTATTTTTTTTCCAGTAAACGTCTTCTCATTTTCTAATGTTAATTACAACATTTGATTTCCTTTCATCCAAATATCATAAAAATATGTAAAAAAATAAAATTAGTTTTAGACTATGCAATTGATCATAGCCCTTAATGAATAAATAAGTATTCAAAAAGTTATATATATAAATATATTTAGTGTTTGGTGTTTTACCATCCATTAAAAAATAGTTCACCCCATGAATACATGATGTCAAAAGAAGATAAAAAAATATTTATTTCGAGCAGCAATATAAATCTTAATTTTTTGGTGCATTAAGTTCCCTCTATGCCTTTCACTATTCTTTTTGAAATAAAAAATTATAAATCCAAAAGTTAGTCTCAAACACGATTTTGAAAACTCATTTATTCAAACATGAAATAAAGCCTCGATCCTCTAAAATCAGTTTTAATGTTGGTGCTTGTAATGATAAACTGAGTTAAAAAAAGTTATAGGTTTTAAAAGATCGATTGAATGATATTTTCTTAATCGATATAACGAATTGACATAAAAACGATAATAAAATAAAATATTACTCATGTACTTTGATAAAAAAAAAATACTTTAAATATCTAAAATAAAATATATAATTTGAACAATATTTTACAAATAAACTTTTTAAAACTGTATTATATATTTATCTGGGTTAACAAAAATTCTCAAGGAACAGATTCTAACAATTTGAGGGACATAAATTATAATTTAGTCATGCGATAAAAGTCTAATAGTAACGATGAAATGGTCTATTTTTCTTTAAAAAGTTATTAATTAAAAGGGTAAAGTACACAAATGTTTTATCGTAATTACTCCGATTATTAAAAATTATAAAATGATCATTCAACTATTTATATATTTCAAACTCATTATTTTCTATAAAAAAATTAACGTCAGTCTAAATTGAACCTTAACATCTTTACTGTGATATGATATTTGTTTGATATTTTATGATATCACAGTCAGAAGGTTAATATCCATATCATATTGTTATCAATTTTTAACAAAAAAATGACGAGTTTAGAACATATGAATAGTTGGAATATCATTTTATACTTTTTAATAGTCGAGATACTCAATAAAGTAATGTGCTATAGTCATATACCATTTATATACTTTGCCCTAATTAAAAACAGTAGTTGAATATTATTAAGAAAAAAAACTATTATAATCATCAACTACCCATATTTCTTAAGCACCTTACCCTATCGCAACACGATTTTCAACTATCGCAACGCGAAATGCAACGCGAATTTGCGATAGTGGAGATCGCAATGTGAATTAGAGATCGCATTACGATTTTGTTGGTTATTTTCGCAAATCCAAAAAAAGTTAGTCAAAATCGTATATTATCTAGGATTTTTGGTCACTGAGGTTATTTTCTCTTATTTTAATTTCATTTTCCATCAGTTGTTTTCATTTATTAAAATAAAGGTGCGATGGTGATGATGCTTCAACTTTATAACAATTTGTTGTCACGTTTTTTAATCTCAAAATGGTTTCTGTTTCATTGATGCTCGAGCAATTAATTCGATCAACCATGTATGGTTGTTCAATTTTGTTCTTAAACTTGAACCTTAAGCATTGGAGTAAGATATTCGAGATTAATGACATGACTAATTTGTGTTTAAGGAGCAAGGCATGTATTACATATTTGAATATTATTTGGTAATTTTTTTTCTAGATACGAATTATTGTAAAGTTAATATATTTCATGATAAATTTTTTTCTCTGTAAATATATAATTATATAGATGTACTTTCGTATGTGATCTCCACAGCAATTGAGATCTATGTTGTCTAAGTACATTTTAGGACTTAGAACATAAATATTCTCTCGATTATAAGACGTTATTTTGATGAGTCATTCATTATTAAAAATTATAAAATGGTCCTTTGTTTATATGATGATGTTTTGTTAAGTCTTTAAACTACTAAAAGTTATAAAATAATCACTCGACTATTCATATGTTTCAAATTCATTTTCTTTCCGTTAAAAAATTGATGAGTTGGACACTAATTTGATGATTGAGATATGATAAAATCATATTTTAATGATGTCTACTGGTATCGCCGTTGCTTTCAAGCTCCGACTCGACGACATAATGTAAACATAGAGTCGATACATAAAATACAACTCAAATAATTTTGGGATCAATTTTAATCATATCATAGTGAACAAATTAACGTCTAGCTCATGCGGTCGATAATTTTTTAACGAAAAATGAGGAGTTTAGAACATATAAATAGTTGAGTGATCATTTTGTAAGTTTAATAATTGAAGGACTCAACAAAGCAACATCTTATAGTTTGAGGATCATTTTATATATCTTTTAATGGTTGGGGGACTTAATAAAATAATATCTTATAGTCAGAGATTTTTGAGATATATACTATGCTATGATGTGTAGAGAATTGTGTATTTATATTTGTTTTTATGATTTCTACGTTTATAATGAACTATTGTTTTTCTTATTTGCGGAGGTTGAAGAATCTAAATTACGTTAAATTTTATCTCTTGTATGTAATCTATTTAGTGTTGATCTCACTTTATTTTCTTCACTCATAAGTTCCTAATAAGTAGTATTAGAGTTATGGTTCAAGTTGTTCAGTTTCAAATGAATTTATTGTCGTGAAATTTTGCTAACGATATTGCAGTCATACAAGAGAAATTTGGATGCAACGAGCTTTCAATTATAAGATGAGTAATTCTTAATCGATCTAATAATTTTAAACTAATATTTGATTTAAGTAAGAATGAAATTTGTTAAGATTTAAAGATATGCTTTAACGAATATTTAACTTAAGTAATGAATTGAAGGATGTTTGAATGTGTGTGCTATGGAATCAATAAGATTGCCCAAATAGGTTTCCTTCCTTTCACTAATATTACTTGTTTGGTATTTTAAAGTTTGTGAACATGTTCGTTTAACGTTTGTCTAATATCCGGTAACGAACATTCTCTTTTATTTGCAAGCAAGAAAAATGTAAAATTACACCACTAGTCCTTAAGTTTTGTAGGCTTCACAGTTTGAACTTTAAAGTTCACTTTAAATTCAATTTACTCCCTAATTTCACCAATATTTAAAATGTAAAAAAATAAAAGGAAAATGAGAATCTATTAAACGAGCTTATAAATGAGTCGATAAACGAACCGAATACAACTATGTTTATGTTCGTTTATTAAATGAACATAAAATTTTTGTTCATTCTCGTTAATTTAACTTAATAAACAAACATAAACGAATGTTATACGAATGGTTCACGAACAGTTTTTCAAACGCTATGTTCATTTATACCCTATTTCAAAGGAGAGCCTGAACTGTGGAGCAATTTCTGACTTCCATAGTCACATGAGAAACAGAAGACTGACGTTTAGTTGTTTTGGCCTTTGAATGTCTTTGGGGATAGTTCTGATGTCTTTGAAGGAAATGAATCAGTTAATACTTTTGGTATAAAGTTCTGTATCCGTCCCTAATTGTAGATATAACTGGATCAGTTCTCTAACATATATGTATTTACCGAATGAAGGGCTTGCAGTTGTTTTGATTTTTGTGGATGATGCATTAAGTAAATCTCATCAGCAACAAGTTTATTGACTAACAGTACATTGCAATCCATAACAAAAACTAGTCTCCAAGGCCTACAAGAACAATACACACACAGAGAAAATGTACCATGATTCCAAGAACAGTTTGTGGGATTATCCTGTGGAGAAGCTGGGGGGTGTAATCAGCAACTTGTTGAGGTGTGGCCTTGTCTTTGCATTCAGCACCAGGGGTGACCATGCTGGGCTTGAGGAGGATGCCCTCGAACATGACATTGTTCCCGGCGAGGTAGAAGAAAACCTCAGCCCAGACCTTTTGTGCTACTTCGGAAGTCCTATCGATTCTGTGATCATCGTCAGCAAGATTTCCAGCTCCACGATCAGGACCAATCCACTGTCCTGCGACACAAAGGCAACAAAAAAGACACGTCTTAATAACAAGTAGCATATAGATAATGGTAGCATAATCATATCAATATGATTCGTTCACTACATAATCATATCATAATGCCAGACCCCAAGCTGATTCTTTAACTGCCAAGACAGAAGGACCGTTCGGAATGCTCACGACGGTACGCCTGTCGATCAACAACAGCAAACAGTGTCATATAAGAATTCTTTACTTCGACCCTACATAATACGATCGAGAAGTTAATCGAACATGGGATTACCGTTTGGCGAAACGAGCACCCTGCTGGTAGTAAGTAGTAGGCAGCAGTGCAGGATGAAAGTCCGAGACCTTGGCACCACTACTCGTTATTGGTACCAGGGAGGGGAACCAAACCCTGTTATTCAATTCCAATTATCCTCTTTAAAAACATGCTATTCGTGGGTGCTTTATGGTTAATTATGAGGGGAACTGTTATTTATTTATTATTTTACCTACAAAGTCTAAAAATTGAGATAATGACCGCAAAAATGCAATTAAAAAATTCCGTTGCCGGGACTTGAACCCGGGTCTTTCGGGTGAGAGCCGAATATCCTAACCAACTAGACTACAACGGAAGCTGTTGGAACCTTTTGATGTTTATATATAATATAATATTATAATTTCGAAATTTGCGTGCTAGTCAAAAATAGAATAACCAAATTATATAGAATTGAAATGAAGAGATTAAATGTGGAATTTCAACATAGTATAAGGACATACTACAATCAAACATAAATTATAAGGACATACTACAATTAAACATAAATTATCAATAAAATTATGCTCGCAGTTAACATTATATTAATAGGATACTTTATATTAATTTTAAGAAATTACACAATTACTTCAACGATATAAATTAATCGATGTGGGATAAAGATCAATCGGAAACTAACTCACACACAAAACTATCAACTGAAGTTTTGTATGATTGTAGATTGTACATATTTCTTTCTTTAACTTCCTAAAAACAAAGCGACCGATGTCAATATTCGAAAGAAAATGCATATTTATGATTTTGATCCCTATATTATATTACAATTTGAGATAAATTAATATATTTTAATTTCTCATAGTTTGATCTCTTAAATTTTATAATGGAGCGATTCATTTGGAATATTAAAATTAGTATCCCAACGGATTGCCACAAGGGCATTTCTTAGTTCATTGGGCGGCATTAGTTATTTAGTTCCCCAAACTCAATGACGCTCGAAGCCAACATCGTGGTCGTGAAAACCATAGGGAAATCCAACTGCACATTGTCGCCGGCATTGTAATACCACCGGTTAAGTCCGTGTTATATGTCGAACCATCATCATTAAATCTAGATGAAATTCAATTATACCAGTATAAACTACTTGAAAATTTTAAACTCTGAACCTTAAACTTTGAATAAAAGAATTTTACACAATGTAATTAGATCTTATCTCATATATATATATATATATATATATATATATATATAGGGTTCAAAGTTTAAAATTTAAAGTTCAAGGTTCAAGATTTAAAGTTTAGGATTTTAAGATTTTTGTTTGAAGTTTTTGCCTTGAAATTGGACAAGCAAATGAGTATCCAAAGACTGTAGGTAAGATTTCAAGGGCTACAATATATTCTTACCATGTTTGGGTCAAGAGGCTGAATATACAAAAAGAAATGTTAAACTCATCGGCCCAATTCTCCAACGTAATGCTAACTTCCCTGAACCCGATCCTGACTTTACTCTTTTATCTTCGAAATCCACGATTATTAGCGGCTGCTCTCTTGTTTCGCCAGATCCAAATTTCTCACAATCAACAAATCTCCCTTTCATCTTTCATTTTCATTTACGAACAACGGTTAAATTGCGCCCGGTAACGTCAGGTTCGTACTTTCTTTATTTGTTTACTTTTATATTCATTCGATTCTGCTATTTGATTTTCGGTTTTGTTACTTTCGATAGGGTTGAGTATTTCTGGCCTTATCTTCTCAGTTTCCTTTAATTTTGGTTCTGAATCTGGTAGTTACGGTTTTCTCCGTTGAAATCTGAAATTTGAGCTATATATCTTCCGTCTGTTTGCAAATATTTGATTTGATTTTGTTTAATTCTCGCTTCTATGATAATGGGTTGCCGGTATTTCTACAATTCATGCAAATTCGAACAACGTGAAATTACAGACGGAAGAAACATTGAGCGTGAACATGTGAAAGAAAGTGGAAGATAAGTAATTAGCCTCCCTGCCTCACACTTATTGTTGTGGGAGCAAGGTTATAAACTTAAACAAAAAGCTATATTTTCAATGGAATTGCGTATTATGTTTCTTTTATTTGGTTTCTCATAGTTTTAAAGAGTCACTTGACTTTGTTTTGTAAGGTTAGAAGTTATTTGAATTCTTTTCTCTAGTTGGACTGATGTGATCTCATGTATGAATGAGGGAAACCTGGGGCTGGGGGTTGTTGTGGTGGTGAACTGGTGATTTAATGTGTTTGGGAGTAACTGCTGCATACAAAACTTAGGAAGTTAGGATACTGCTATGGCACCAACTTATGTGAAGTCGTTTGTTTTAAAGTTTGTATCAATTGTCACTGCATATAGCTTTTCTGAAAGAAAAAAAAAGGTTTAATCTTATATTGTATTGTTGAGATTTGACTTTTTAGAAGGGGGCATTTGTTGGAGTCCTTTGGGAAGAAAAGGGGGTCCAGTTGAGAAACAATTTCACAGGATAAGGGAAAATGAGGAGGAAGTTCACTGGAGGTTTTTAAACGTGGAAATGGATTTTACTGGCATTGTAACCTGTTTTTTCATGTAGATGGTTTTAGACTGATACACTGGCTTTTATTGCTCTCTAACCGCGTAGATGGTTCCAATAATCCCTTTTTCGCTCCAATTCTTAGCGTGTTCGAACTTTGTTTAAATTTGAAAGTCTCAGAGAGATAGTAGGAGTTTATCTGCTATCTTATGTGTTTCTCTACAATCTACTTGTGTTAACTTTTGAACCACAATAGTTTTCCCTATGAACATAGAATCTTCTTGATCAGCTATTCCCAAATTTTCATATGGCCGGATTCTGTTATTTTCTTTTAATCATCTCTTGGATACTGGTCAAGAACTTATGTGTAATGGTATGGATGGTTGGCTCTGAATTGGATTTTGTGTGCCTGTTCATGAGTTTGTATCTGGAATGATGGCTATTCGAAAGAGATGGTTGAACTTTTCATGAGGAATTTGGTTGAGGTGAGGGTCATCAAGTACTTGGTGCCGACTGCCGAATTGATTGGTTTGTAATCAATATAAGATGTGGATTGCTTGTTGATTGTAATGTGTCTTTTACTCGTGGGATTTGGTGTTTATATTTTGGAGGGAATGGTGAGAGGTCTGATATGGCTCATGGATGATGACGGGTGTGTGGTTGTGCTGTGGACAGGGTGGAGCAGGAGCAGGAGCAGTTTGTGTGTTGGTAGAGGTTGTTTTGTTTCTACTGATCTGTGGAGGTAGGTGTCGATAATCATAAGTTTGAACATGAGTTCATACAGCAGGAGCCGGAGCCGGAGTCCCATGGATCGTAAGATCCGATCTGATCGCTTTTCTTACCGTAATGCACCCTACAGGAGGGAGTCTCGTCGGGGTTTCAGGTTTTCTAATTTTCAAGCATTTAGTTAATTTTCTTTCCTCGGCCAGTCATTTGGTCCGAGGAAAAATGTGTTAACTTATAATTCTTAAAAAAAGGTTTTGCCTATAATCGTAATATAAATATTTAAAGGATATCAAGTGTTATTACTCCAGTGAGAAAAGTACATGAGTCTGTATGTCATTTTCAATCCTATCTATTTTTCTGTGTTGGTCGGTTTCACAAATAAAAGGATTCATTTCTCTTCAAGTGTTTTAAGTAATGGTGGTTGGCTGAAAATATTTTGGGTCTCGATAATTTGCCCCGAGTCACGTCAAACCAGAACCTATAACATGGTTATCGCTTTCTGCTTCAGCAAAAAAAGATGATTAAGAAGATTGAACTGCCTGATTTTATCTCTTTGAACTGGAAACTACAAAATTACTTCACTGAAGAGGGGGGTATTGTTTATTTTGACTATGTGGCTGTTATCATATATTGTGTACAACCTTTTATGTCAGTAGTCTTTTGGCATGTGGGGGTTGAGGTTAGGCTATTGTGGACTCATTTCTTTCATTGACTTAGTGAATGGAAGAAGTTAACCACTTCTGTTGTTTTATTACTTTCTGTTGGGATGTGCCGGAAAGTTCATTTGTAACCTTGCGTCTATGTGGTATATCTTATAATCTTTCCCTTTATATTTTTCTTCACTTTCCATTCTTTTTTTTTTTAATTTTCTATGTATATACATGTGTTCTTTTTTGTTTACAGAACTTCCTTAAAGAATAGCGATCTAACGATTGTTGGATTATTTAATTCGACTTCTTTCTTTCCAGCCAAAACAATCTATGCAAGAACTGCAAACAACCAGGTCATTATGCTAGAGAGTGCCCTAATGTGGCAATTTGTCACAACTGTAATCTCCCTGGGTAAAGAACCTTCTTCTCCTCTTGTTGTTAACCTTGAATCTGATAGATCTTTTGAGTTGATTCAAGTTTGTTGTTCTTTCGTCTGTATGACCTTTTATTTGGCATTTTTATTTTCAAGGTGTGACAAAGCTATAGGCTTTTGTTTTGTTTAAACCATGTATTTTTCTGTCAAAACTTAATAGTTGCTCGTTAGCTAAATTTTATCCGTCATGTCATTCTTTATGCATCAAATTCCTATTATTTTTGGTTTATACTTTGGTTCTTTAACATTTTCCTTTTTTTCAAATGAGTACTTGAAGCAAATGAATTAGATCTACTTGTGGAATTTTAAATGTAATATGTTTATTCTTTGTCTTCTATCTGTTTATGAGTAATCAAGTAGTGTCTTTATGATTCAGCTGTTAGGCAAAGCTATGCTGCTCTCGTGCAGTTGTGGAACTGTTCTAACCGTGCAGGAACTATATGAACAGGCACATTGCTTCGGAATGCACGACCAAGTCTTTATGCTGGAACTGCCGTGAACCTGGGCACACAGCAAGCCACTGTCCAAATGAGGGAATCTGCCACACCTGCGGGAAGTCTGGGCATCGGGCCAGAGACTGCACTGCACCCCCGATGCCACCTGGGGACGTGAGGTTATGCAACAATTGCTATAAGCCCGGTCATATCGCTGCTGACTGTACAAATGATAAGGCATGCAATAACTGTAGGAGGCCAGGTCACTTGGCACGTGATTGTACAAGCGACCCTATCTGCAACCTGTGCAATGTAGCTGGACATATGGCTAGGCATTGCCCAAAAGGCAACATGATCGGAGATCGAAGCGGCGGCAGGCGGGGCAGTGGCGGGAGCGGTGGTTACCGAGACCATCGAGATATTGTTTGTCGTAACTGCCATCAGCTTGGTCATATGAGCCGAGATTGCATGGGGCCTTTGATGATCTGCCACAACTGCGGCGGAAGAGGACACATGGCGTACGAGTGCCCTTCTGGGAGGTATTTGGACCGCTACCCTAGGAGGTACTGATGATCCATGCAACTCGTGGCGGCTGCAATTTATATTAGCATTATGCTTTAATTTGTGATTGAAGATTTGGAACTTGATCAACTTCTAAATTTGGATTTTCAGTGTAGTGATTTGCCGGAGTTTGTTGAAGTAAGCATACATATTATTCATTAGTTAGTTTTGATTATGACGCACTGTTGTGTATCATAATAAGAAGCTTTATTAATGGCTAAACTTGGTGATTGATTTCCGGTCAAGCTCTTTTCCAATATTTATTCAGAGCACCATCATCCGCATTAGTAAGTACGAATTTAGACAATTCATGGATTGGTTTACATATGAATGGCGATAATCGATGTGTCTTATAATAATAGATTATCACAATTCATGGATAGGTTTACATATACGAATTTATACGTGTGGTTTAGCAGATTTATCTGTTAGTGTACAATTCACATTATTAGAATCACTAAAATAACTCCGTATCTTAGCTAAAAATCACTAAAACGCAAACGAAGAATTCGATCCCTGATGGAGCTTGTCCATATAGGAACTCAAGTACTTAACCTTTGATTTTGTAGTAGCCTACTCCAAAGCGGTTTGATTCATGTGATTCGTTAGTATTGAAATAGTTAATGGCAAAAATCGTTGATTAGAAAATCATATTAAATTTTTATTTTTAGATTTGAGGGAATACAAAAATAATTCGAAGATGACGTTAAATTTTGAAAGTTTCATATACCATTAAATCAAACGGTGAAGTACACAAATGGTTCCCATTATAGTGTGTCACTTTGTTGAGTCATCGTCTATTAAAAGTTATAAAATGATCTCTCAATTATAGGGTATTACCTTGTTGAGTCCATTGACTATTAAAGTTACAAAATGGTCACCGACTATTCATATATTTCAAAATTTTCCTTTAAAAATTAACGGTCTTCTGAGTTGGACGTTAACGTGTTGATTGAGACATGATAAAATTTGATCCCAGAACTATTTGAGATGTGTTTTGTGGATCAAGTCTTTGTTTACGTTATGCTTTCAAGCCAATGCTTGAAACATTATGTCGATGAGCTAGTGTTTGAAAGCGACAGCGGTACAAGTAAACATCATTAAAATATAATTTTATTATATCCTAGTCAGCGGGTCAACGTTCAGCTCAAACGACTGTAAATTTTTAACAGAAAATGACGAGTTTAGAAAATATGAATAATCAGATGATCATTTTATAATTTTTAATAGTCATGAGACTTTAGTAACACTTTATAAACTAGGGACCATTTAATTTTTTTTATAATTGGTAGACTCAATGAAATAACATCTTATAATCGGACCATTACTTTACCCTAAATCAAAAAACAATTCTAATACAACTTCCAAACAAACCGACCATTTCCCGTAAGCCGCATCTTTTGCCGCCTCTCTGAAAGAATTTCAGTTCAATTATATGCCCACTCTCTTTGTCTTCTTCCTTCGGCCTCCTACCCTATTCCATTTGTTTCTTTTTTTTATTTTGGTCCATTCTCGATCAGTTTTTTTTCCTTTTCGATTCAAAGCAACGATGAACGCCTATAAGCGCGTGGTTCAATTAGGATTGAATGCGTATTCGAGTTCCTTTGTGAATAGGGTCGGGCATCGGCAGATTTCTGAACTCGTTATGTCCAATGGAAAGCGCGCATTTCTCGTCGATACATTAGCTCTGGTACTTCTGTTAAACTTTATTTCATTTCTATTTCATGTTTGATTGTCGGGATAACCTAGGAATATGAATGACGTGTAAGCATGTTTTTTAATCTTTTTTTTCAATTAGGAAAGTCGAATCGAGCTTTTCCCCTCTTCTTACTTCTTTTAGGTATTATACTCAATTCGATTGGATTTGTTTTCTCGCTGAAGGAATCGGTGTTTATTCTTCTTTTTTTCTCGATAAATTTGGATATCGAACTATTAGATTTGGACCCCCTGTTAAATTTGAGTTATTTTTACACTATAATAGGTACGAAGTTTGGAAGCCCAAGGCGTTCCATCAAAACAAGCGGAGGCAATAACGGCAGCGATCACCGAAGTTTTAAACGACAGTTTGGAGAATGTATCCCATTCTTTTGTTTCCAAGTCAGAAATGCAGAAAGTAAGTTTGGTTGATTTATTTGTTACTATGTTTTTAATGTTTATTTGATCATGTATGTTTATTGCAAGTATGCCTGTACTAAAATTTGCTTCATTTTACCTTTTGTAGTCTGAGATGCTTCAAGAAGCCAATTTATCAAAGTTTAAATCGGAAGTAAAAAGTTCACAGGTACTAATCTATATGTTTAATTAAAAAAAGCGAGTTGCAAAGGAGAAAGAATAAATTTTTGTTATGTGCTAGTTTCATAATTTGACAGAATTGAACGCTCCAATTGATCTCTTATTGGTTCTAATGTTTCCGATTATTAAGAAATTCTACTGGCTGGAGATGCTTTGTAATCTTGTAGCTCGTTCAGTTTGAACTAATGATATTGCAGCACTGGAGTTTTTAAGTTTATTTTCTAGGATTATTGTATATTAACCCAATGTTGCTATTTGTGAGGCTGGTCAAGGTTAGGTTAATCGCGATTCTATGTGCTATTTTAATGTTCCTTTGTCCAATCACCTTTTCCTTTCCTCCTTTTTTGACAATTGCTCTGGTGTATGTAAGGAAGGAGGAGAAGAAGAAAGTGTAAAGACAGATCTTGTATCAAAAGTTAGGTGTAGGTTAGAGAACACTAGAAGGTGGGTTTAGAATTTGATGAATATTTTGAAGTTCAGGTAAAGATTTTCTGACAAAAGAAAATGGATGCTTTGTAACTAAACTATGCTTAGCTATTGACAACCTATCAAGTTTTGAGTTTAAGTTATTCTAAGATGAATAGAGTGTGTAGAATGGGGAGAATCTCTTGGTAGTTTCTCAATCAGACTAGTTTTGAAATTGCAAGTGTTCATGGCACTGGGTTTGATTAGATAAACTTCTTTTAACATTATGAACCCTTTGTGGAAAGGGTTCTTTTGGAGTAGACTTCATAGCAGAGTTCACTGTATATTTAACTTCCGTTGGTGATTCGCAACTTCATTGATATAAAAAATGCTTAAACATATTCATCCTTGTATGCATTATCTGATTTGGTCCTTTCCATCTTGATCAAAATATAACTTCTTATGCTTCACTGGAATGTTCCGCTCCTCAATTCTGTTATTATTATGTTATGATGTTATTTTGGTCTGTACTAGTGAAACCAGAATTATTGCTTTCTTCATTTTAAATATGATTGTCTTCATTGCAATGCGGAGTTAGTTCATGCTTTTTCCATGCTTATTGTTCTTTAATTGTCAGTTTTTATTTGTTCACTCTCTCATGTAAATGTCATTTTCAGTATAAATGCTTGTAAATGTTCTCTTTATTTCTAACTCATGTATTCTTAATTAAATCTTTACACAGTACCATCATATGGTTATATTGCAAATACTCGTTGGCTTGTAGCCTTTATGCGGTTTTGCTATGATCATTTCCTTTTAATGCAGGAGCATCATTTTTCTATGTTGCAACATGAAACTGAGAAACTTCGAGGTGACATAGAAACGATGTGAAATGAACTAAGGTGTGTTTTCTAACTTATAATGGAACTGTTTCTAACTTCCCCGAAAATCTTCATGGCGTGATTTTATAAAACTGATCTCTCAAACAGGTATGAAATTGACAAGGTCACTGCAGGGCAGCGTCTGGATCTAAATCTTGAAAGAGGGTAGGCAGACTTTACTTTCTGTTTCTTCGCTTCATAAGAGCGCTTGCTTGCTCTATTTTCTCAACACAACTGATTCTAGGTGCATACGTGATGAACTGGCCAATCAGAATGCAGAAACCACCAACCTAACAAACAAGCTTGATAGGGTGAGCATGCTTGTTTATTTCATTTGAAAATCTGTGTTTAGATGCTTTAACATAAAGTATAATTATAGGCATGAGCTTTTGAACCATCTACAGGAAATTCATGCAGTAAGAGCCCAGTTAGAAGCTGCAAAATATGATGTGATAAAGTACTGCATAGGTACCCTCGTCTCCATATCTGCGGTTGGGCTAGCTGTTGTCCGTATCTTGATGTAGCCTCAAACCTCCTTCAAGTAATGCCAACTTTTCCTACATAAAATCCCAAATTCCATTCTTTTTCTTTTTCTGGCGACTGGATTTCTAGGGGAGTAAAAAGGGTGGAAATTACTTCTATCATTGCAAGATTTTTCGTACAATTTGCAAGGAATGGTGAATTGCAGTCGATCGGAACAATTGTTTGTGCTTCTTTTAGGATTAAGCACGACTTATTCTGTGAACTCTGTTTACTTGAAATGCTTTATTGTGGCATTGTAGGGAGATAAAGTTGAGGTGCTACTTGATATACACGGATAAAGGGGAGGGGGGATTTGAAACATTTTTAATGTAGAAGTATCATTCATACATTATTCACGATTTGATTGTTTTATTGTTGTTATTATTGTTTGAATATGTCCCTCGCTATGATAGATGTTATGATTCATTAATTTATAGTTAAAATTAATTATTATAATAAATTATACGAAATAATATAAACATTAGATTTTATGTAAATTAATTTATAAGCTGGAATTTGTTCAGAAATTTTTTAACCTAAATTAATTTATAGTTAAAATTGAATTATCTAAATAAATAATATAAACATTAGATGTGATATGACATGAAAAATAATAAAAAGTAAATATAATATTTTAACTATAATTATAATATAAAAAGATGGTTACAAATATAATATATATGTAACCCTCTCAGACCGATAAGAGTAACCTAATCTGATTTGGAGTGTCACATTAGGGCCACCGGAACGACCCACCATAAAAATAGCGAAAAATTTAAAACTTTTATTAAAACATGTAACTTATAAAATGATTTATCATTATGCATAAACAAAATAGATTTTTATACTCGTATATAAAAACAAAATACAATTACATGTCCCCTAATCACATGTTCCATACTCTGCAAGCAATGCTGGAAGAACTCCCTTACTGATTTTGATAGATGTACTGGTACAATCTTTTAACCTGAAATGATGAGTAATAGAGTGAGCTTCGAAAATCTCAGTAATACAAAACTACCAGATAATGCTGAAGAACGTGCAGATATAGATAAACATATATTTCCTTATTGATTTAGATATTTACAGATTTCTTTGGCTGAGCTGAGGTCCCATTGATATTTCAGGTATTAACAAATAGTA